CTCTTCCCCTGATGTGCTGATGCACTCTTTCCATCAGGGCTTTCCATGGTGAGGAGGTGCGTCATTGGTGATCGAGTCCCTTAGTCTGTTCCGAGTGGAGGCCTCTTTATACAGGCAATGGCGAGATTGGTGGGGAGTCCCCAATCTGATTGAATGTTTCCCAGTAGCACTATTGTAAGAATCTTAGGTCTCTTTATCGCCAGTATTTCCGAGGCGAGTGCTAGACCGTAGGTGATCTGTGTCTGGATGGAGAGGAGTAGCTTGGTTCGCACGCCGCACTGGGAGGGGTTTGTGTAGATTTTGTTACGCAACCTTGTTACGCAAGGCTTCTGCAATAAGGGACGAGGTGGCGCCCAAGAGGGCTATGCTGCCTTCTGGAGTTTCTCCGAACAAGTCAACGCAAGGTCGCCAGAGACTTGGAAAGGGAAGAGCGAGACGAGAAGCACCTGATATCAGACCTAAGGCCGTCGGCTCGCGTACTCTGGGTTCGGTTTCAACCTGTATAAAACCCGCCATGATTGGAGAAAGTGGCTGACAAGTGGTGAAGTAGGGCGTGGATGCGGTCTTCCCTTCATAATGGTACGGAGTGAATTTTTGCCTCGAAATGGCAAGCGTGAATGGGTCAAGAGAGTCGACGGGTATTGTGCGTGATTCGGTGCCGCCAAGTTTCGCAAGGAACACACGACGTGTGAAGTCTGACAGCCTTGCTAAGTTTGTCCAGTTGTATCGGGAGGGCAGGGGCGCGGATAGAGGCAATTGATCCAACCTCATGACGCTTCCTATTCGGTAGGCTCTCTGATGGAGACCGAATGCATACGCTTTTGATCATAGGCAGAAACTCTGTGCGGATCCCGTGCCCTGTGCATCCTCCTTGCAGTTTCGTGCTTTGCTTATCTACGAGACGTTCGTGGGAGTTGATATGCATTCTTGGGTAATCACGCATCTCTAGATGTCGGATGGGCGACTAAATGCGGGGCCATACATGAGCTTCCTTCAATGTATGATTTTCAGATCTCGTCCTCTCAGACCTGGAGTGACGAGTTCTAGAAGACCAGGATAGAGTGTCGCCTGTCCTGAGGCTTCTGCTCTCTCTTGGAGGGTGTGGTATTCCTATACGATTTTCTGAGTGGCGAGGGGGCGTCTTGTTTTTGCGCCCCTCTCCTGTCGCCATTCTTGTTTCATTCTTCATCTGGCGTTTCAAGGCTCTCATGTCCCGCCGCCATCTTTCTTCTTCAATCTCACATCTTGCTCTTTTACCGATCGCGGAGAGCGGTCTGTGAAGCAGAGTGGCAATCCTACGAGCGCCTTTAGCTGATCAGGAGACTTTGCGAATGAAGAGGACGGTGGAGCTGTTAGTCGCTCCCCCTAGTAAGATCCTCTGGAGACTTAAGGTTATGATGGTACTGACTATGTTGACTCTCAAGGTCCGCCATGGGAGTGGGAGCATGTAGTAATCTGTTCACGCCTATGACGTCTTTATCGCTAGATCTTAGGGAGTAGGTCTGGACAGCGGACTGGTGAGTTCTGACATGTTGTGGCCATTGTGAGTAAAAGCGAGAAGCTAATCACAGAGGTGTTTTGTCGGTGTTCTTCTGTGAATGTGTGTTATATTCCGCCAGAGTGCACCAATTTTATTGGGAAAGGAATACCACTTCTCTCTGTATAATCCCTTGTTGACTAAGTCTGTGCTCCTCGTACGACGTTTTCTGCTTGGTCACCTTGAAAACACAAACGGTTGGCTAGCTGTCGGGTGTGTTGCCGGACAACCTCTCCGATGCCTAAAGTCATGTTCATACTTGACAAATAAAATAGTTATTTTTATTCAGAAAGCAAAGTTGTGTTCACCATTCAGCTCCTCCTCTTCCAAGGTGATGTTTGTGAGCTTTTATAGGTTTCGTGTGGCACAATCCTAGTAGGACTTCTATTCCTCCATGCAGAGTCCTCCTAGGATTCATACTCCTGTAGGATAATGCTTATCCTTTAACACCCCCCTCACTGCTTAAACCAAGTGAGATGGTTTTTACCATGGCCAAACTCCAATACGACCGAAGTAAACACGACTAAGCAAAGCCGTAGAATGAGCCGAACTGGTTCCTTCTACTCCTTACTTCGGCTTCTCATGTGCAACTCATGGTACGGTTTAGACCGAACTAACGATTCGTGACCGGTATAACTCCAAGACCGGTCTAACTTCAAGTTGCTTCCGGACCGAAGTAACTTTTATACGTATCTTGGGCCGGAGTAATTCTATACCTCTTTTGGGCCGGAGTAACTTTTACGGCCTTTTTTACTCAGCCCTTTGTATTGTGGGCTAATATAACCATCTCATAGCTCGGCCCAATTTTCACCAAAATTACCCTCTCCATCGGGATAGTGGACCAAAAGCTATGGAATTTTTTTATTAGCAGTTCTCTATAACGTCGTGTGTTCAATTTTCTATGATATATATGTATCTTTGTTCAATGATTATTTTGTATTTGATAGACAATGGTCTTGTTGGGCATACAAAACTTGTGCATAGAAGCTATTTGAGGATTTGTCAAAGAGACTAATACTTCATTGGCTCCAAGGTTTGACATAGATATAAACATTGTTATGGTATATGATTTGTTTTGTTAGTAATTCTTCATATGGTATGTAGATTCAATCATTTCACTTTTTATTTGAGTGAAACATTTGTATAACCTTTCTATTTTGTTAGGATTTCCCCTCTTGTTTGTAACAAGAAACCACAAGAATTCGACAAGTCAGGTGTTTGAAGATGTTTCCGAGACAACCCATCAATCCTGCTGTTGAAAAACTTATTGTATACCATTAGTATGCAAGTATAGAACAATCCATCTTCTTAGTACCCAAAAGGCAGAAAAAGTAAGTGAAGAAAAATTTAGAATTGGTAATAAATAAGTCCAATTAATTGGTCTGATTGGTAAGTATCCACTTCCTTTTATATATATAGAGAGAGAGAGAGAGAGAGGTGATTCTTAATTTGAATTTAACGCTCTCAAACTTAAATTTTTATATCTAATCAAATTTATTTTTAGATTGATATTATGACCCTAAAATTATCTAAAAACACCTTAAGAATACTATATATTGTGATGTATCTTATTCTCAGTCAATAATAGCCTTCATTAATCTTAAGATTTTGATACAGACTCAGATAACACTTTACAATATTCTGATTGCAAAAGCATACTTATCAACAAACAAACAAACAAAAAAATGATCTGGTTGGAAGCTTTTGAGCAGTTGAGAGATTTTAATTAGTTTCTACAATGGAAAAGGGCAAGGGATGCCAACAAAAACATTAAAGGCATAATTTTCATATAATGGGTGGAAGTTTAGTTACTAAAAATCAATATATATATTATGTGAAGGATCCATCGAAACTAAATTTTCCCTTAAATCCCAAGATGATAAGGGTCTTATATAAATAATTTTTTATTTACAGTTTGTTGTTTTCAATTCCAACTGAACAAATCATTATGGATTTAGCTTCCAGGGCTTTCTTACAGAAATTCCCCCAAAAATCAATACATACAAATAAGAGAAACATTTTTTTTTTTTTGATAAGTACAAATAAGAGAAACATATTAAAATGAAGAATTTTAAAAACATCTAGGACGGCCACCTAAAACATGTTTTTCCCAGTGAGCTCCACCTACGATCTTATCCTCTATCAGTTCATCATGCAATTTCTATGTTCCTTTAGACTAAGATTCTTTTTAACCTAGTTGTTTCCCTTGTAGCAAATAGATAACTCAACTACAGAAGACTGCAAGCCTAACAATGAAAAAGATGGGATGAAAACAGAAAAAAAAATAAAAAAAACAAAATTTTAAGACATCTAATTTGTTTCACAGTACGATAAATTAACAGATACTGCTGATCCCATCCTGGAGATATATAATTTTCTTCCTGAGCTATTTTGATTTGTAGTTCCATTTATTTATTTCCCAACACTACTCTTATTTGATTGAAAAAGCATACTTCAATACAATCTTATTTCACCATCTAACAAAAAAAAATATACAATCTTATTCATTTAAAAGCATGAAAAATATTCTCACTGAAACATTATTAAGGAAATAATACTACTTGATCAGCAAACAGTTTTAACTTCTCAGAATAGAGCAACAAACCACACATAACCTGATAGGACAACATTAAAGAATGATTGAAAGTATCAAAAAAAAATTAAAGCAGGAAAAAAAAAACAAAAAAAACTCCTCTCAATGGCGTATATAGGTTTTGAAGAACAACCACCGAGGAAATCAAAAACAAAAATCAAGAATAAAATTCTTGAAAGTAAAGGAAATGAAAGGCAAATTCAATTTGAATCATGTTATGCCACAGAATTTAACTATAACTAATACGGAATGGAGCGAGATTAACATAAGCATTTGAGAGAGACTGATGTCTACTGCAACTATGGTATGTGGTCAAGTCCATCAAGCAACATCAATCAATTAAACAAGTAAAATAAAATTAACAGTTAATTAAATACTATTAAATTTCCAACAAATTTACCATGGATAATGAAAAGAAGTTTTAAAACAACAATAATAATGTTATTAAAAAAATTAAAAATCGAAAGTATTTCTAACCTGGGTATCATCAGTAGAACCATCTCCAACCGCTCCAAAATCTAACACGTTAAAAGTTTGATTGTGACACTCTACTGATATTGCAGAAACAAGGAAGAAAACAATACAGAAGAGTAACACACAGTTCTTCTTCGTGGTTGGAGAGAGAGAGAGAGAGTAATGATGAGTGAGAATGAAATTATCATAGACTCCAAATACATATAGTTCAAGGAATGGGACAGGATTGGTTTGACATATGAGAATGACAATCCAAAGTGAATTATGTCTCCTATTTAAACTGAAATTAGTCTTTTATTATTATTCACTAGGTGACTCGTACAATACATGAAAATTTATTTTTAAAATAAAAAATTAATTTTGAGTTTTAATACTTTATGTGTAACAAATTTAACAATCTAAAAAATTATCACAAAAATAATTTCTTTCAAAGTTAAGAAAAAAAAATGTATATTCTTAACTTGAAATCAAATACAATCATTTTCGATGAGTCATGATTTTTTAAAATAATACTCACACTATTTATCATTTGACATGATTCTAAAAACTTAATAAAAAAAAATAGTAAGTTCCATTATTTTAAACAATCAATATCAAATTGGACGCTACACGTCTAGGTAAATCACTTATAGAAATATGATATCTCACATAAAATCACAATGAAGTTAACTTTAATTAATATAATGATATTTTATATTATGATGTGTTACAGAAGAATAATTTTAATTATTTATTTTACTAATCTTAATTTTATTGTTTTATAAAAGTATTACTTGAATACTTATATATAATAAATTTAGTTAAATTATTTGTTTATTTTGATAATTTTTGTTCTACTGTGCTATAAAAGTGTAATTATTCTGTCATGAAATTATATGATATAGATTAAACTATAAGATAATAAAATAAACACTAATTTTGATATTAAAAATAATAGTAAAATTATAAAGAAAATTAGTAATTGTAGACACCCCATTTTTGACCGACCTTAAGACTCAGACGTCATCGATAGAGCACTCGGTGATGGTGCATGTTGTGCTCGTTCTGAGGTTTCGGAGTTTTAGCTGAGAGCCTTACCCCCGAACCTCGGGACCCTTTTGTGCTTTGCCTCGATTTGCGAACTAGGTCTTGTTTTCTCTTTCCGAAGGGAGGGAGAGGTCTCATAGACCATCTCTCAGTGGCCGTAGGCTACTTTTCGTGGTCGTAGACCACTGTTCCCGTTTGGAGACCAATTTCCGGTCTTCAAAGCCGTCGGCCGTGCACCTCGGTTTGGGACCGCTTAACTTTCTCCGTTTGCTCCAATTTTTGGCACACACTTTGTTTCCTCTCTCTAGAGGGACACTGTAGCTCGGGAGACCACCTTTGTGGTCGCACGCCACTTTCGATGCTTAACAGTCAGTTTTCGAGGCACCCGGCTACGCGTTTTGGCCCCCGAACTCTCGTTTTGCATCCGTCTTGGTTCATTTTTGGCATGGACCCTATTTTCATTGTTTGGAAAGTGGTACAAGGGTGGGAGACCACCTTTTCTCCTTGGAGACCACTTTTCTCCCATCAACCGATTTTCTTATCAGGTAGCTGGTCTCCCTCACTTTTGGGCCACAATTACTGGTCTCCCACCATACCACTAGCTTGCATTGAGTGAGGAGACCACCCTAGGAGGCTGCCGACCAAATTTTGAGACTTGACCCTTTTGAACCTAGTCGGCCAACCAGGGCAAGTGGTCGGCCGACCACTTGAATCAACCACTTGCCCTGGTCGGCCTACTCCCCCCTGCCTTGTCTCTGTGAGTTGTTGCCAGCTGTGCCAGCTGGATGGCACAGAATTGATCCTCCATACACGTGTATGGAGGATCTTCAAACTTGTTTTTTAGCTTCATGGAGAAGCTTTGGACCTCTTTGGCTATAAGAGAGACCCTCTCCCTCATTAGCAAAGGTTCAAAAAATTGGTTAAGGCATACATATATCTATTTCTTTATATCTCTCTATTTTGTGTTAAAAAGTCCCTTGTTCTTGGCCCATTGCATACCACCTCCTAGCCTAACCCCTCCATCATCACTCTAAACATCTTGGAGGCCATTTTCAAAGGTTGAAGGTTTGTTGTTTTGGTCCAGAAGCTGCTGGAGTTCTTGGCTACAAGGGTAACACACCTTTTTTCCCTTTTTAGCTTTATTTTGCTTCATATCTTAGCTATATTTGCAAGCATATTTGGGCTTTGTTATAAACTGAAAAAAGTCTTATTTTGAGGTCCTTAACATGTTTGTTTAAGATCATTTTTCCGTTGGGGGTCATCTACCCCCTTGCATGCTTCATTTTACTTTGTTTTGAGCCATGCCTTAGGGCCTTTGCATTGACCTTTGTTTGGTCTCTTAGCCACTAAAATCCAGTGGATTTTCAGTGGCTAGCATGCTATTTTGGAGCACCAAAATCAGAGAGGGGTGATCCTCTCACCTCTTGTCTTGTTTACTAGCATATTTGGCCTAACAAAGGAGCCCTTATTTGCATGCTTCCAAGCCATGTTTTAGGCCATTTTTGGTGGGTTTTAGGACCTGCATAGGCTCTTTCCAGAGCCCATTTTTCCATTTTGGGTGTCCATCTTGCATGTGTAGAACAACCCTCTTTATAGCCTATCAAAGGAGCATGTCATTCTTGCATGTGTTGATCACTTTTTAGTGGTTTTTTGGGCATTATTTGGCATGTCATACCTCTAAGTTTTTCTAGTTTAGTGACCTCTTGAATGCCTCATATGCTTGTAGTGCAAATCCTCTTTACTAGCTTACATTGCATGCTATTTTGGCCCTTGATTCTAGCACTTTTTGGCCATGCTTTAAACTGATTTTGTGCATGTTTTGAATTGCCTTAGCTCTCTTTTTATGTCTCATGGTCGAATGATGCTTGCTATGCATGGTTGTAGTTCAATAACCTTGCCTAGCTTTGAGTTTTGGAGCCTATTGCATGCTTATGTTGAGGTGTTTCCATGTTTTGAGACCATTGTGCATCATATTTCAGAGCTTACATGTATGTCATATTCTCATGTTTTCCACTCTTTAAATGCGTTTGAGAGTCGTGCTTGTATGCCTCATTTTTGGACCATTGCATGAGCTTCATTTCCATGCCTTTCGAGCCACCATTTTAGTCCATTTTCCCGCTGTCTTGGACCTGCCTAGGGTCTGTTTGGGTCTGGTTTGGCGATTTGTGCATTGCTTTGTGTACCTCTAGTGTAATGCGCTTCACTAGTTTCAGTATCCAGGCCATCTAGCATGCATTGTGTGAGGTGTTTGCATGATTCGGGACCATCTTGCATGTCATTTCAGAGCTGGAAAATGTATG